AAAGGCAATGACTTAGCCACATAATAGGTATTATACTTTCATTTTAAAAAAATGAACTGTAAAATTAACTTTTAGAGCCTTATTAAGTAAATATTTAATTGGTTAGCTGAGGATTACAACTGTGTCCCCCAGCCCTTTTCATGACACTGAAAGCTTACTCATACACAAGGATTTTATAGCAGTGTTAAAGGTAGACTCCATAATCCCAGTTTAGAAATCGAACCAGTTTAATTAAATGTATCTTTAGACTGACTGCTACAAACTACAGTACGGCACTCAGTTGAATTTAATCCTGTTTTATTCCCTTACTCCCTACATAAACTCAAGATACTGCAAGCCATATTTACAACTGTTTCAAACCTTCTGAGCAGAGCAAGCTTACCTGAATTTTGTCCCCCCTCCTCAAAAAATGTGGGTAAATCAACTTCTTAGAGCAGCAGGAGCCCAGCTGCAAGTAGTCAACTTCAACCTATTCCATCATCTCTTTGCTGTCCTAGCCAACCTTCTAACCTGCCTAACCCAAAAGTCAGTGCTGAAAAACTGGGTTTAAATTAAATTAAATACATAAACATCACTGCCACTAAGAGCAGGACCTTAAATACAATTTTACTAATACTCCAGTTACACCTTAAGGATCTCCCCAGCCTTTGACTAGTAACGGCAAGTACCACATGTAGCAAATGTAAGCCTACTGAGCATGAAGCGAGCTCTCCCAAGACCTTTTAGTAAAACCTGGACCACCCTTCCCAGAACCAGGAGACTGCAATGGAAATCACTCCTCTTAGTGATGTGGGTTTTATTTAGCTCCTCTTCTGTAAAACTATACCATCCAATTGCATTGGCCAGTTGAGCTTGCTCAGCTTCTCTCAGGACATGCTCACAAACCAAAAAAAGATGGGTCTAAGTATTCAGTGTCCTTCATCAAATCCTTCATCAAATCAATACAGTATTAATACAGTACAGACTACAGACTTTTGCATGTATTTTAACCATAATCATTCAAAGGATCAAATACTAGGATATAAATACATCATTTAAATAGTGCAAGGTTTTTTCCTTGAGATTTTGCAGTTTTGACCTGCAATTTTCAGGCAATTCATTTCCTTGAAATATAGGTAAATCTCTTTCTTTAAACAATAATCACAGAATACACTTATGCTTTGTCATCAGGATTTCTTTTTATTTAAAAGAACAACAGGAAATGGGAGGGAAGAAAAAAAAAGACTTCTGTTAAAGGACAATTCACTGAAAGGTCTTTTAGCTGGCAATTGTCAGCACTGCTCAGGGCCAATGGATCAAATTTAACTCTAAAAAGTGCTGATGGTTGTATGAGTCTTCACAGTAGGAGCTGGTGCTCTGGGCCACTCAAGTTCAATTTTTGGTGTTACCATGGGATGTAGGAACTGGGATCTTGGTGAGCAAAGATTTGCTCCGTATTTGATGCACTGGGTAAAGTGGCATTCTTAAAATCACTAGCCTCCCAAGCAGCTAGTAAGCCAGCAGGAGGTTAGTAGGAAGAGAAAGTAATTGTCCTTTGTGCCTCTGAAAATAACCAACATTAAAGGATCCTCTTATGTATTACCTGCGTTTCAACCTGCTCTCGCTGCTCAAAGGAAAAGCGAGAGGCTGGAGGAGACAGAAAATAAAGCTGTCAGAAATATTATAGGAGACCCTCCTCAAGCTGTCACGAAGCGTATGGTCTCCTCACCTAGAAAGCTGCGCCACCAGAAAGGATGAGTGCTCTGTAAGCAACAAAAACTTGTTCAGACAACACGCTTTACGTACACAGAATGTACCATGCATGTGTCTGTGCATTCACCACGTGCTTGAAGAGGCTGGAGACATGAGGAAAGGCACAGCAAAAGTGATCATTTTATACTCAGCAGCACGTGGGCTTGAGCTGCTTTAACAGACTGCACACAAGTCATCGGAAATCCACTTTACCTGTAGCCTCTGTTCTCCATACAATGCCCAAAGAAGGTGGAAGTGCAGCATGACCAGCAGCAGGATGAGAATCTAATGCTCTGGTCTTAACCTGAATGTTCTTATCTGTCAGAATATTTCCCAAAAGAAAACAGATCTGGCTCCCGACTTCCCTAATCCTACTGTTTGGTCACAACCTAATTGGGTTTGAGCACACCTTGAAAAAGGAAGAAAACCCCCAAAAGCCCCTAGTGCTTCAGCACCACCGAAGAGGAGCTCACTCTTGTTTCAGGTTGCAATTCAAATGCTGTCTAAACCAAATTTGGGTCTGAATTGACTACAAAATATATTTCAAGTGATTAACTGGAGCAGCTCTAATGTCTTGAAGACATGGAAAAAACAAGCAAAACCGATTCTAAAAAACTTTAGGTTTGCAGAAAAGCAAACTGAAAAGGCTCTATAAGGGCCATTCCCAAGCTGTAGGGCCCAGAAGCCCACTTCCTCACCAGCAACATTCCTGCCACCTCCCATGCATGTACAGCTCTGCCTGTTCAGTGGACACATGAGGATCCTTATGCAGAAAAAAAACAGGGAAAAAAAACCACCAAACTTCTTTGCTAACAGGAAAAAAATCCTTACAATAACACTAATCTATTTATAATGGTCAAAAATATGACAGCTTACAACAGCGTCAGAGCAGTGCTTTGGCAATATTTTAGCATAGTGCTGTATTTTTAGAAGGACTGTTCATTTACTTTCTCCTAGAAGCTGGAATTCTTATTTTTCAACAAATGAGATCTGGGTTTTTTTTTTTTCAGTGTATCCATATGCCAACATCAGAGTGTTTTATCTCGGGGTAAGTAGGAACTGCAGGCAGAAGCAAAGCTCCTGCACACACGCTGCCGTGCAGCAGCGCTGCCGGGGACGCCGAGTCCCGATCTCCTCCCGTGCTTTATGCAGCGACAGCTTCGCCACTTACAAACCTTCCTGGAACGCAGCAGCACGTTTTTACGATGAGTAACAGAAAACTGCTGTGTTTCTTCATCCTGAGCATTGAGGAACTATCCTATTGTAAACAATAGATCTGACAGTTTAATGATATTGCTCAACCTAACTGGTTCTGGCAAGCAGCACGTACAATAAGAGTGCAGCAAGATGTATGTTTAAGCACTTTCATGTTTTCTCAGCACAGAGACCTCAGAAGGGCACCTTACCATTTCAAAATTCATCCACAAGCTACCTGTGCACCTAAGTGAAAAACAGTAAGTTCTCTGTTAAGTCTCACCCTACAAGATGACAACATCAGGAGACAACCCCAGTCCCTGAGAACCTCTACAGCGGGAGCTCCAACACCTACAGACAAAACTCACATGCTTTTACTCTCTTCCTAAAAAGCATGTGTGAGCTTCCATTGCTTACAAAAAACTTATACTAGGTTAAATTAAATACATGTTAACTGAATCAACTCGAAGCCATCAATACATCTCAAATGTCCATCTGTTTACACAAGCCACTTGCAGCTTTCAAGTCTTGTGCTCCCTTTAGTGTAACTCTCAACCAAAACAGTCCAAGTGCAACCAGAAAGCTCTGCTGTGAGATTTCCATGCATAATGACCATGTGTTTATTGGGTTTTCATGTTCAAATCCTGTCAGAGCAGACATGCTATCCTTTCACAAAATGCAACACATCCATGCCAGCCTCTCCCTCTTCAGCTGGAGAAACCTCCTAAAACAAAGTTGGCTCTAACCTGGCCAGATATTATAGCTAAATTTGAAAAAACTCCCTTTGTAATCCCAGTTTAATAGCTGTAAATAGTATATTTTGCAGGACAAAGACTTAATTTCTGAGGCAATAATGTATTTCGAGGGCTGGGAAGGATTAAGAGGACATATAAATAGCAGCAGATACAGGTAGATGCTTTCAGGTAAGTTTCAGGTGATAAAATATTTTGATGAAGAACTTTGTAGTAGCTCCTCATTTATAAGAGTTGCTTTTTTAATCTGAGTGGCTCACTTCAGCAAGGCTGCAGACAGCTAACTGCATTTCAACTGGGAGGATGAAAGCCAGGACACATTATCCTGCAGTTCTACAGCTGGAGTCAAACTTCCTCTTCTAATCTGAACTAAAGTTAATATTCCATTCCTTGACAGAGATGGAGCAAAATGCAGCTCTAGTTAAAATAAACAAACAAACAAAAAAACCCAACAAACCACCAAAAACGTTTACTCTCTAATTTTAGGATATTTCTGGCTTTCCTTTTACAAGAGTTAAGTGTTTAGCAAGGACAGCAAAAGCTACCTGTGCCAGTGTGTGATACCAGCCTCTCAGAGAAAACAGTTCTCATCTGACACCATCCCCCCGAACGTCCCTACTGTATTGTTGTTGTTGATGATGATGATCGCGATGCTGAACGCCTACAAATCTCCCACGTGCCTATTTCGTTGGCCTGCTGGTTTAAAAAAAAAAAAAAAAAAAAAAAAAAAAAAAAGCTCGAGGCCATTATTCATGAGCAGTAAGAAAACAAATCACTCTTAGACCTACTCCTCTTGCAGATTCCCACACTTATTACCCAAAATCCCACAGCTTGCTATTGGTTCTACCCTTGACCAAAGTACAGGACTGAGGCAGCATGCCATCCCCTGGGAAAAGCCGATCACGTTCCTCCCGGCAAGCGGCTCCGGTTATTCTAGGATCGCAGTCGGGCTGGAATAAAGTCCCCCTAACTTTTCTGAGAAGGCAGCGCTCCCTCGCTCGCTCGCTCGCTCCCACCGCCAGTGCCCAGCACCCTGACCGGGAGGTCGCTTTTCCCCCCCCTTGTCCCGTTTCTTTTTTGAGGGGAAAGCAGCCGAAACGAGCGAACCCAGAGCCTTCAGCCCCTTCCGCTGAGCCACCCTCCTGCTCAGGCAGAAGCGAGGAAGGTGCGGGGCAGAAACACGCACGGAGCCTGTTCCCGGTGCCCCCCTCCCGGTGCCGGTGCGGTGCCCGCCGTGCCCCCCGCTCGCCCCTGCGCGCCTCCCCGGCAGCGGCGCGGCGGCCGCCGCCACTGCTCGGCACTCACGCACGGAGAGGCAATTACAATAATTTAAAGCTTCCTGTCCGCCGGCTCCGCCGGGATCCCGAGGGCTGAGCCATGCCTGGGCAGGGCGCGGAGCAGCCGCTGCCCCGCCACACACGCGCGGGCACCGCGGCCGGACCGCCCCCGCCCGCCCCCAGCCCCGGCGGCGACAGCAGGAGGAGAAGGAGGAGGAGGAGGAGGAAAAGGAGGAGGAAGGGGGGAGGGCGTGACAAGTTGTGCCAAACTTCGGGAGGTGTGCGAGCGCCCGGGAGGAAGCCGAGCGAGCTGCGCTGACAGCCGGCCCCGCCGCCTCCCCCGCCCCTCCGGCGGCGCCCACCCCGCCCGCCCCCGGAGCGCGGGGGGCCCCGCGGGGCGCTGATGAGCGCGGCCGCCCCCGGCGAGCAGCCGCGGCGAGAATAAAGTTAAAACGGCGGCGGTCGCGCACCTACCCGCTGTCTGTCATGTCTCCTCCGGGCGCGGGGTGCTAAGTGAGACACTGGCGGGGTGGGGAGAGGCAGAGGTGCGGGGAGGGACTGGGAGATGGGTGTTTGGTGAGCTCTTCCTTTCCCCCTCCTTCCCACCCCTTCCCCCTTCTCTCTGTGTCTCTCAAGGACGAGGTGAAATCCCTTTGCTGGTCATAAGGCGGCTTCAGAGACAAACAACACAATGCGAGTGCAAATAACAAAAGGAAAAAAAAAAAAAAAAAAAAAAAAGGAGAACGAGAGGGAGACCGGGAACAATGGGGGAGGAGAGGAGGCTCGCCGCGCCGCGCCTGGCCGCCGCCGGCACCCCGGCAGGCAGGGGGAGGAGGCAGAGGTGGAAGGCGAGGTGGCGGTAGCGGGGAGGGGGCTGCGCGGGGAGTCCCCCTGGCGCGCCTGGGCTGCCTCAGACCATCCCCGATCTCCTCCCCGCCCGCCCCGCCGCGCTCCGGGGCGGCCCTGCGCGGCGGCCACCGGTAAGTGATGCGCCTGCCGTCCCCGCGAACGGCCATCGCCACCATCATCATCCTCACTGTCCCCGGAGGTGGGGGGTGGCCGCTGTCCGCCCGTAGAACGAGCGGTTCAAAGCCCTTCCCGCCTTCCCCCTACCCCCTGCTCCGCCCGGGAACTTCTTCACCGAGCGGGGCTGTCGCGGGACCCGGGGATGCCGCTCCCGGGTCCCTTCCCGAGCAGCAGTTCCCCCTCCCGCCCTTTTGCCGAGAGTAAACACTCCGAGAGTTGCGTGTCCGTGGGCGTGTGCGTGTCCGCTGGCACCTCCCGCACCGGCAAGCCCCTGTCACAGCGGTGCGGTCGCTCACATGCTCAGCCGCCCGTGGGGACGCCCGGAGTATCCCCCTTCCTCAGCTCCCTCTCTTCATTCCCAGGACCCCCGTCCGGCCGCCGGAACCCGAGAGGGAAGCAGAAGTTTGGGGTCCCACCGCGCCCTTCCCCTCCGCGCTCTCCCTCAGGAGCCGACGATGAGGCGGCGGGCTCGAAGCCCCCCGGTGTCCCCCCGCGGGCCCAGGGGTTACCTCAGTGGCGGGCGGGGGCCGGCAGGGCTGCGGCTCTCTGCTCCCTCCTGGAACCCTTGCCCGGGGCGGAGGGGCCCGGGCAGCCCCCGCCTTGTCACCGCTCCCCCAGGCAGGCGGGGAGCGAACGCCCTGTCTCGGCTGTTCGCCTCTGCCCCGGACCCCACGGTTACCTCCTCCTCCTCCTCCTCCTCCTGCTCTCCGCCAGCACCCCCCGCCCGCTCCTCGGGGGAGCTCAGCCGTGTCCCGGGCTGGCCCCGCGGGGACCCGGCCGGGCGCTCCCGGGGCTCCGCGCCTGGGCGGGGGGTACGCGTGGGTGGGTGGGTGTGTGTGGGGAGTTGTGTTTTCCTCTCGGCAGCCGCTTGCTCTGCCTGTCCCTGACCCGGCTGCTCGGGAGCCCGTCCTGTACCGCGGGGCGCGACGGGCCCCGGGGCGCGGGGGGTCGCCGGCCGCGGCCCCGGGGCCGGGAGGGGTTTGAGCCTCCGCCGCCGCTAATAAAGTCACCCTCTGCAAGCACGAGGTCTGCCTCTCGCTCTCTCTCTTGTTTACTTACGGGGTCTTTTATTTTTAATCGAGCGTTTTGTACACGTGCTTTTCTGAAGCGCCGCAGCCGGCTGGACGGGATTCGAGCCTGAGAGTGGGAAACGCAGAAATCCGCACCCGGAGCCAAATTGCTCAAAGAAGAGCAAGTTCGGTTATTATTCATCTCCACGAGGGAAGTCTTATCTTCTACAAATATTTGATACTGGGACAAGGCCAATAATTAACAAGAAGAATCAAACAATTTCACTGCCTTCTCGGGGATTTAAAAAGTCATCATCTGGAATTCATGAACGTTATAACCTTTTTTTTTCCCTGCTTGGATGCGTTACTGTATATGATCTTTTCAGTGTGTGTGTGTGTGTCCCTAAGTGATTTTACCCTTTCATGCAAAAAGATGCAAACCATTAACAGCACAGATAATACTCACAACTGCTGATTCAGTGAGACTTCAGACCTCTCCGTAGGAGTGGTGAGAGAGGGTGGTAACCCTGACGGGAAAGGGATTTAAAAAAAAAGAGCTGGAGGAATGTTTCTTTCTTGGCTTCCTCCCTACCTTTGTGGCAGGAACTCCCACGGGAGTCCTGTGGGTGCGATGGGAGCAGGGCAGATCTAACACCCTGCTGCCTGGCACGAGGCTGGCTGGCGCTGCATAGGTGCAAGCATCAGCTCTCCCAGACAGCCCTGTAATTCCTCTTACAGGAGAAAAAGCCAGGCTGAGAGAGGAATAGGACTTCTGAGCTCTGCAGCAGCGTTTCTGGCAAGGTGCCTGAGGTGCCAGGGAGGCAGTGCAGCTTTCAGGACCTGCAGTGAGCCAAGCGGACCAGTCATATCCAAAAAAACCCAAACACCAAACCACCAAAACCTTGCCTCATCTGGATTAAATAGAGACATTTGAGAAAGGTGCCCACGCGCTAAATGGTAAAGTTTCACACTGCACTGTTCCAATCACCAAATTCTGCACAAGTTCTGGCACTGTCTGTCAAAGCCACAAGTCCTCAGTCCCCACCTCCTCATGCAAACCCCATTTCTGATGGCTGGTGACCCCCAGTGCTGGCACAGGTAATGAAATACGCTGGGCACGTAGCTCTGCTCTGTCTCAGGTAATCTCAAACCTGGGGACCTACAGCCAGAATTGCCTGGGTTGGGCTGACAGGGTACGTTGTGTTCTCCCCACATCTTTCAGTGCTCTTTTCTATTGATACGCTTCTCACCCATTGTTTTTTGCATAAGCAGTGCCCCCTTCTCCTTCACTACTTGCTTTATGAGAACTCCTTACAGTCACAATGAAGTTCCTTGCAGTTCAGCACAAGAAAGGAATAAGGGTGCTTGGGTCCAAAACTAATCTGGTGCAAAGAGAGAAAGCCAAATGTGGTTACATTTTATTTAAGATCAAAAGCACAATGGTGTGAGATTGTATTACGTTCTCCACAGGAGCTGTATTTTTCTACTTCTACAATAGGATTAAGGTCTTCAGTGAAAAAGAGAATCACAAAAAAAATTAAATAAAAATAAAAAAGAAGTCCCATTTAACTGGGAGTAGCTGCATTTGAGTTTGTCTTGAATAATATAGTTCATTCCTCAAAGACTCTAGCATCCCATTTCCGAAGACTTTTAAAAACAATTGTGAATGCCAATAATCATTTAGTTTTTACTATTTATTACAGAGGATTTTTTTTTTATTTAAAGGGAGGATGTCACCATTTCTGCATTGACTCATTTCAACATTTTCAGTCAACCAAATGCTTTTTAGTAGAACCTAGAGACATATCCTTATTTAGCTCTGCATATTTGAGCACACAGGATGTTGAATGTTAGCACACACGGGCTGGACACAGCTGGGAGCACAGCTTCAAGCCACTTTTCCACCCTGAATAACTAAAGAAAGCATGAAAGAAAATTTTCAGTGCAGCTTACCCCATGAAAGGTAGGCTACCATGCAAAAATTGCTACCTATTTTCAATTTGAAATTTGCAAAGCTCTGGATAACTTTCAGTTTCCCAACATCAGGGAAGCATGGCTTGAGCCTGGTTCTGCTCTAATGTGCATGGAACGTGACTGTGTTTCAATGAAAGGTATCATCCACCTTTACTATGAGCAACGTGCACCTAGAAGTCAGTCTGTGCAGTTGGGGAAGGTGGTTTACACACAGCTCCAGTTTCATGATGTTTCCCCCATGCCTGTAGCTAGAAGTTCAACAATTAGCATTTTAGGCATGTTCTTAAGGGAAAAAAATCTACAGGTAGATCTCTCTGCTCAGACAGGGCTGATCTGTCTTTGGTGCTACCTGACTTTGTCCCTTCACTACCACTCTCCCACTAGATAACTTCATACACTTTGCCTCATCCTCCTAGAGATTTCAGAGCTCTGTTTTTCTACTCCAATGAGTCTTGACACACTCATTTTCACATGAGCTGGTGTAAAATGCCACCTTCCTGATATGGAAATGGTTTGTTACTACCCCTCAGAGGTACACATGGCAACACTGAAGAACAAAGCCTGGGTCCTATAAAACAACGTTATCTTTGTGCCAAAGTAATCCAATTATTGAGGTACTGAGATAACCTTAAAGCCATATCAAAATGAAGAAACCACTTAGGAACTTACAAACGTCTGTTTTCGTATCAGAGTGCATCAGTACAAGAACACCCTTATGTGGCCCTAATCAGTCAAAGCACCACTCTCGCCTTTTACATTCAGCATGGCTTATCTGCTTCTCCATAATAAAATCAGGGTGATACTTTCACTGATTTCTGCTAGTAGGAAAAGCTTCTGTTACTTATATTAAAGCAATGTGGTTCTGAGCAGGCCCTGCCTCCGCTCCCCTGGAGGCAATAGAGAATCCCATCTATGATATTTCAAAAAGACATTCAAATAACTTCCTAGGAAAGATAAAGCATGCTGCCATTGTGTCCCTGAGTAGGGCCCTCTATCCAGTTTCATGTTAGCTGTTTCCTCAAATTAAATGGTAGAGTCATGTTTCAGCAGAGCAACTGGCAATTTGGATCCTACATTTAGGTCCTATTAACTAAATAAGGAATACATTTATTTTTAGTAG